GAAGGAAGGAAGGAAGGAAGGAAGGAAGGAAGGAAGGAAGGAAGGAAGGAAGATTAGAGTAGATATTTGTGAAATGGAGACTCAGAAGAAAAAGAGAGGTAAAGTCAGAATGGCCATACTTAATTTTATTTCTTAAAGATGAACAAAATAGATGACTCTTAAGGTAAAATGGCCAAGGAAAGGAGAGTGGAAGGAGAAGGTTCAAAATACTATAATCTGAAATGAAAGAACATTACTACAGACCCTACAGAAATACCGGTTTCAAGGAGAACTGTTGGGAGCCAAGTCCTAGCAGAAAGCGGCTATCATCTTTGCAGCCATCTCAGGCCATATACCCCGACAAGAGAGAGACTTGTTTTGCAACAGCCCGCAACAGCTGAGCACACTCTGATAAACATCTTGTTTTCCTTACATATCTTGTTTTGTTGTTTAGTGCTCCCAGCTGCAAGGCACAGGTGGCAAAGTGTCTTCAGCTTCATTCCCCTGTTTGTGTTTATATATACCCATGATTTTCTTTCAATAAATGGGACTTGATCAGACTCTCTGTCTTGTCTTCATTCTTCGAGTCTCTTGCCCCTCCATCCCCACTCTCTCTTGCAGACTCCATTAACTGACCTGTAGACCGGAGCACTTGGCCCCCAAATGTGGGGTAGCGTGGACTGGGTCACCTGGCGCTCAACAAGAGGCATAGAGAACAAGAGACCCAGTGAGGGACATTACTGGAAGAAGGGCCGACCGAAAATTCAATAAGGGAAACAAAGGTGATCACATTGGGAATCTGACACATCCAGAAAGGTATGACTATGACTATAGTTATGAATATGGGGCAAGAAATAAGTCAGCATGAACTTAGCTCCCTGTTTTTGTTTTGTTGTTTACTGTTCATATGTGTCAATTGTCTGCTTTTGTTTCATTGTTTGAATGCTGTGTTTCATGTTCAAAAGAAAAAGAAATGCATATATTCAAAATTAAAATCCAAAATACGACCAAAGGTTGATGACAATTTGTCGGAGTCAGACTGGGACAACCTAGAGGAAGAGGTAGCCAAATATTACGATGACCCTGAATGGCCCTCTTCCCGAAGGCCTCCTCCCTGTGCACCTCCACCTCCAGATGGTCCTGCTATGGGGATGGTAGTTGTAGATCCCAGAAAAGAGTTACAGGACAAAATTTCTCTCCACAAACAAGAAATTTCTCTTCTTAAACAACAAATAGAGTTAGAGGAAGAGTATTAGGACTTAATTAATCAGCTACAAAAATTAAAGACAGGGCAGATGTCTCACTAGGGCAAGGCCACCTGCAAAAATCCCCCAGGTCCTCACGTTCCTCAACCTGGAGTCCAAAGACAGCTCCTTTCCTCTGGTTTTAGTTCAGCCACAAATCAGCTAGAGGAGGGAGAGGCTGAGGCTTTCCCTGTATCAGAGACCAGAGACACTCAAGGGGTTGCTTGGAGACATCACACAGGGTTTAATTTTCAAATCATTAAAGAATTAAAAAATGCAGTGTCACAATATGGCACCACTGCTCCTTTTACT